CTAGAACAGAACTAGAACAGAACTAGAACAGAACTAGAACAGAACTAGAACAGAACTAGAACAGAACTAGAACAGAACTAGAACAGAACTAGAACAGAACTAGAACAGAACTAGAACAGAACTAGAACAGAACTAGAACAGAACTAGAACAGAACTAGAACAGAACTAGAACAGAACTAGAACAGAACTAGAACAGAACTAGAACAGAACTAGAACAGAACTAGAACAGAACTAGAACAGAACTAGAACAGAACTAGAACAGAACTAGAACAGAACTAGAACAGAACTAGAACAGAACTAGAACAGAACTAGAACAGAACTAGAACAGAACTAGAACAGAACTAGAACAGAACTAGAACAGAACTAGAACAGAACTAGAACAGAACTAGAACAGAACTAGAACAGAACTAGAACAGAACTAGAACAGAACTAGAACAGAACTAGAACAGAACACAACTAGAACAGAACTAGAACAGAACTAGAACAGAACTAGAACAGAACTAGAACAGAACTAGAACAGAACTAGATCAGAACTAGAACAGAACTAGAACAGAACTAGAACAGAACTAGAAAGAACTAGAACAGAACTAGAACAGAACTAGAATAGAACTAGAAAGAACTAGAACAGAACTAGAACAGAACTAGAACAGAACTAGAACAGAACTAGAACAGAACTAGAACAGAACTAGAACAGAACTAGAACAGAACTAGAACAGAAACTAGAACAGAACTAGAACAGAAACTAGAACAGAAATAGAACAGAACTAGAACAGAACTAGAACAGAACTAGAACAGAACTAGAACAGAATAGAACAGAAATAGAACAGAACTAGAACAGAACTAGAACAGAACTAGAACAGAACTAGAACAGAAATAGAACAGAACTAGAACAGAACTAGAACAGAACTAGAACAGAACTAGAACAGAACTAGAATAGAACAGAACAGAACTAGAACAGAACTAGAACAGAACTAGAACAAAACTAGAACACAACTAGAACAGAAACTAGAACTGAACTAGAGTATAGTAGAAGCTTGATCTGTTTCAAAATAACTTTTCTATGGAGAAAGTTATTGACAACTCTAAATAAACTGCCATAATAATCCTCGTAACTTTTAAATACTTTTGTCTATAGTTCTGGAAAAAAATTGCAATGCAATTAATTTCATTTTATTTACAAACTACAAAATATAAAAATTCAATTAAAGTCAATTTAACCGCAATAATTTTAATAATTCACACCACAAATCTCTAGACAGTATAATAAAAAAAGTGTATATAGCCAAAAACAGTAGACTAGCAAAGGATAGACGGACTGAACTTGACTGACCTGAAATTGCCCTTTGAACAGCAGGCATAATAATTTATAACAGGTTGTAAATATAATTTTACAATTCATTTAATTTAAATGCAAAATATTTATTTATACTCATACATCAGACTCATTAATGTAATAAAACAAAAACAAAACTAATTTATATTAAATATGTGTGTATGTAAGCAGGATAATCATAGACAGTGACCGATAACGGCTAAGGATAACATGAACTCTCTTTTTTTACTACCATTGTGATTTTTATTTTTATTCATTTAAGTAGATTTTGTGGCTGGCAACGAAAAAACGTTTATAAATCACAGCAATCATTCTGTTGTAACTTTTTACACAGGATTAAAAAATATAAATCAATTTAATGCCCATCCATACCTGCCAAAATAGGAAGAGTGTTGGCAGAAAAGAACGAATAGTAATTCAGGATTTATTTTATTGCAAATGAAATATAAGTGTGTATATAGTGTGTGTTTTATGTGAAAATAAACTTCGGGAATAGTGGTTTCTTCAATACCCTACATATTCTTAGGAGGGAAAAATTATTTCCTAAGAAGCAAAATTTCCGACAGAAAACTGCTGATCATAAGCAGTTTGTCTTATTTATGATTTTTATTTTTTGTTTCGCAATTAGTTCAAGAGAAGTCATTATTTCCTTATTGTTGAGGAGGAGATTTTAATGTTGTTTTAAAGAAGATCTGAAAACTGGAAAAGGTTTATACAATCTGTTAGGTTGGGACCAAAACACTCTGTTATACTCATCTTTCCAAGCACAACCTATTACCACCTATAACGCCTGAAATTTACGAAACGCATTCCCTGTGATTGATGTCGAACATCGTGTCTATTGTTTGGCGAGATGTTCAGTTTGCACCCAAAACTGAATTAAAATATTGTATACTTTTAATAAAACTTATGAGTTAAATTTTTATACACCAAAATGAATTTAGTGGCCAATGTGTTTAACCACAAAAACCTACATGCCACAAAAAAAATTTTATATGAAAATAATACTTTTTTTAATGAAAAAAAAGTATGAAAATATTTTTGTTTGTAGTGAAAAGTTACTCGTGCAGTAACATGAAATTTAATTTACATACATGTTTTTTTCACATTTGAAAATTTGATTTTTTTAATAATGAAATACATGTATATGGGCAATTGTCAAAAAAATTTTCATTTAAGAACTAAATCCAAATAAGTTATTTGGTAAAATATTTTATTAAAATATAAACTGAGGTCTTGGATCTAGAATTTATTTTAATTTTCAAGTTATCAAAAAACTTTGGTAATTGCCCATATACATATGTAAATAAAAGGTAACGTTTTCTATACAAACGAATAATAATTTATTAAAATATACTGATATATTAGACTGACCTGAAATTTCAGGTTATTTCTAAAGTGATGTGAAAGTTCATGTATTCCACTATATGTTCAAAAGACGACTAGTGGGCAGACTCATAACAAGATGATATTGTCTTAATACGTTGGTAGAGAATCAAGAACAAATTCTAAAATGTTCCTTGCTGCTCCATCAATACCAATACAATCATACTTCTAAAGCCCAAAAACGGAAGATTTTTCGCGAACCCGCTTAATACTCCTACAAACTCACAATTTTAACATTGTATACATATAGTGGTCAATATTTTCCCTTTGTTTTTAAACAAAACTTTTCATATTATTTTGTTAACAAAATAAACCTATCTATATTTTTCTACTAATATCCATGAAAATGTTTTTTACGTGAAATTATATTTAAAATTCAAAAAAAAAAAAAAAAGAAAGAAAAGCAAACCAGCAGGGCCGATAATCTAATACCCTACTGAAGTCTCAACTGAACTAGAACTGAACTAAAACTGAACTACAACTGAACTAGAACTGAACTAGAACTAAATTAAAACTGAACTGAACTAGAACTGAACTAGAACTGAACTAGAACTGAACTAGAACTGAACTAGAACTGAACTAGAACTGAACAAGAACTGAACTAGAACTGAACTAGAACTGAACTAGAACTGAACTGAACTAGAACTGAACTAGAACTGAACTAGAACTGAACTAGAACTGAACTAGAACTGAACTAGAACTGAACTAGAACTGAACTAGAACTGAACTGAACTAGAACTGAACTAGAACTGAACTAGAACTGAACTAGAACTGAACTAGAACTGAACTAGAACTGAACTAGAACTGAACTAGAACTGAACTAGAACTGAACTAGAACTGAACTAGAACTGAACTAGAACTGAACTAGAACTGAACTAGAACTGAACTAGAACTGAACTAGAACTGAACTAGAACTGAACTAGAACTGAACTAGAACTGAACTAGAACTGAACTAGAACTGAACTAGAACTGAACTAGAACTGAACTAGAACTGAACTAGAACTGAACTAGAACTGAACTAGAACTGAACTAGAACTGAACTAGAACTGAACTAGAACTGAACTAGAACTGAACTAGAACTGAACTAGAACTGAACTAGAACTGAACTAGAACTGAACTAGAACTGAACTAGAACTGAACTAGAACTGAACTAGAACTGAACTAGAACTGAACTAGAACTGAACTAGAACTGAACTAGAACTGAACTAGAACTGAACTAGAACTGAACTAGAACTAACTAGAACTGAACTAGAACTGAACTAGAACTGAACTAGAACTGAACTAGAACTGAACTAGAACTGAACTAGAACTGAACTAGAACTAAACTAGAACTGAACTAGAACTGAACTAGAACTGAACTAGAACTGAACTAGAACTGAACTAGAACTGAACTAGAACTGAACTAGAACTGAACTAGAACTGAACTAGAACTGAACTAGAACTGAACTAGAACTGAACTAGAACTGAACTAGAACTGAACTAGAACTGAACTAGAACTGAACTAGAACTGAACTAGAACTGAAACTAGAACTGAACTAGAACTGAACTAGAACTGAACTAGAACTGACTAGAACTGAACTAGAACTGAACTAGAACTGAACTAGAACTGAACTAGAACTGAACTAGAACTGAACTAGAACTGAACTAGAACTGAACTAGAACTGAACTAGAACTGAACTAGAACTGAACTAGAACTGAACTAGAACTGAAACTAGAACTGAACTAGAACTGAACTAGAACTGAACTAGAACTGAACTAGAAACTGTACTAGAACTGAACTAGAACTGAACTAGAACTGAACTAGAACTGAACTAGAACTGAACTAGAACTGAACTAGAACTGAACTAGAACTGCTAATGTATGTAATTGCACTATTTTCGAGAAGCAGCCACATAAGAATTTTGATTATTTGTAGTTCGGAGCTGACTTTTACAACTTAACGGTTGAGGCGAAACATAGTTTCTTTATACATATTAGCTCTTTTATATTCCCTTCAACATTTTGAGCTTTCATTCATTTAAAAAAAAAGACAATTTATTATTCAATTAATTGATCTGTTTATATACTTTTGTTTCCACACATAATGTTAATTAATTTAAGTAGTATTTTTATAAGCTCTCTATACAATAATAGTATCTCTATAAACATTAAATCAATTAATTAATTAACAAATTAAATTATATGAAAAAAATACACTCTTAAACAAATATTTCCAATATTAATAAAAAAAAAAATCCATAAACAAATATTAAACGGTAATAAAAAATATACACAAACTTACTTGTATGCATATTCCAAATTATCACCACAACCACCCCAGGTCCAATCATCGTGCAACTGTTTGGGTCTTGAACCACTAGAACAACCACACGATGCCAGCTGACCATCACGACAGGCACGAGCTATGAAACTAGTAACAGTGGCAGCAGCCAAAGCATGTATAAAAGCCATTTCCGGCGAACCTGTAAAAGAGAAAAAAAATTTAAATTAATTAAATATCCATTAGAACTATATTAAAAAGCATAGAAAAAGTGCGATGTTGATAATGTTCTCTCATTATTTTGTCTTTGCCGGGATATTGCGTTTGTTTGCGCCACTGCATCACACAATTAGCAACACTTTAGGGGAGTTTAGTTACATTAGCAAAGTTTAATTTTAACAGCTCAAGAGTTGTATAAATAACAATTTAATCAATGTCTAATGATGTTACCTTTGTAAAGTTGTTTTTTTTTCTGTGAACAAAAAAACACCCACCTGATGTTAAAGTAATAAAATCTAAACAACAACAATAAGTTTATAGTAAAATAAAGAAGTTCATTTCTTATTTCTTACTTTCTAATAAAATTTGTCCTCTCCCTTCTAGTTAGCTTTAAAAAGACTAAGGATAAAGTTTCTTCCGTTGCCATGAAAAATTATAAAGCAACAAAGTTGCGCTGTTTTCTTTCTTTAAAGGTTTCTCCTTAATGGCCAATGACATTTAATTAATATTGAATCTGTTTCTTTTTTATTATTTAAACTTTTTCTACGTTACACACCGTCTGCAGCCGCTTTTGTGTTAATTTTGCTGAAAGGACATTTATGCTTTTCTATAAACTTTTTTCAGTCTTTTTGGCCTAAACTTTGGTTTGGTTTAGCTTAAGGCTATTTATTTGACTAATAGAGTAAATTAATTTTTATGAATAATTTACTTGACGACATCGTCTTATTTTCATCTTTTATGCCAGCACTAGCACTTTGATCTGAGAAAATTATTATGAAAAATCTTTGCATTATTAACACGTCATTAGTTGAAAGGTCAGACTTACAGTCTGCTGCAAGATGAGAGAAAAAGTTTTTGGGAAAACATGTAATTAAAAGGTAATGGTTATTTATTTTTGGAATTTTTCATAACGAAAAGTTCAATGGTGCTTAAGGGGAGGAGAAGCTTTGAAGTTTCACTGTAAAATATTTTTCATAAGACAAAAAGCGCCAAAAAAATTTTGCGATTTTTGGAGTTTAAATACATATATATAGGTATGTAGGTTTTCCAGTCTACCTAGAACTGAAAGAGGAATGAATTCGAAATGAACTAGTTTTTCTAGTTTAGAACTAAACTAGAACTGAACTAGAACTAAACTAGAACTGAACTAGAACTGAACTAGAACTAAACCAGAACTGAACTAGAACTAAACTAGAACTAAACTAGAACTGAACTAGAACTGAACTAGAACTGACCTAGAACTGAATTAGAACTGAACTAGAACTGAACTACAAACGGAACTAGAACTGAACTAGAACTGAACTAGAACTGACTAGAACTGAAACTAGAAATGAACTAGAACTGAACTATAAGCTGAACTAGAAGCTGAACTAGAACTGAACTAGAACTGAACTAGAACTGAACTAGAACTGAACTAGAACTGAACTAGAACTGCACTAGAACGAACTAGAACTGAACTAGAACTGAACTAGAACTGAACTAGAACTGAACTAGAACGTACTAGAACTGAACTAGAAACTGAACTAGAAACTGAACTAGAAACTAAAACAGAAACTAGAACTAAATCAGAAATAGAACTGAACTAGAACTGAACTAGAACTAGAACTGAAACTAGAACTGAACTAGAATTGAACCTAGAACTGAACTAGAATTGAACTAGAACTGAACTAGAACTGAACTAGAAACTGAACTAGAACTGAACTAGAACTGAACTAGAACTAGAACTGAACTAGACTGAAACGACTAGAACTGAACTAGAAACTGACTAGAACTGAACTAGAACTGAACTAGAACTGAACTAGAACTGAACTAGAACTGAACTAGAACTGAACTAGAAACTGAACTAGAACTGAACTAGAACTGAACTAGAACTGACTAGAACTGAACTAGAACTGAACTAGAACTGAACTAGAACTGAACGAGAACTGAACTAGAACTGAACTAGAACTGAACTAGAACTGAACGAGAACTGACTAGACACTGAACGCAGAACTGAACTAGAACTGAACTAGAACTGAACTAGAACTGAACTAGAACTGAAACTAGAACTGAACTAGAACTGAACTAGAACTGAACTAGAACTGAACTAGAACTGAACTAGAACTGAACTAGAACTGAACTAGAACGGAACTAGAAACTGAACTAGAACTGAGACTAGAACTGAAATAGAACTGAACTAGAACTGAACTAGAAACTGAACTAGAACTGAAATAGAAACTGAACTAGAACTGGAACTAGAACTGAACTAGAACTGAACTAGAACGAAAACTAAACTGAACTAGAACTGAACTAGAACTGAACTAGAACTTGAACTAGAAAGCTGAACTAGAACTGAACTAGAACTGAACTAGAACTGAACTAGAACTGAACTAGAACTGAACTAAAACTGAACTAGAACTGAACTAGAACTGAACTAGAACTGAACTAGAACTGAACTAGAACTGAACTAGAACTGAACTAGAACTGAACTAGAACTGAACTAGAACTGAACTAGAACTGAACTAGAACTGAACTAGAACTGAACTAGAACTGAACTAGAACTGAACTAGAACTGAACTAGAACTGAACTAGAACTGAACTAGAACTGAACTAGAACTGAACTAGAACTGAACTAGAACTGAACTAGAACTGAACTAGAACTGAACTAGAACTGAACTAGAACTGAACTAGAACTGAACTAGAACTGAACTAGAACTGAACTAGAACTGAACTAGAACTGAACTAGAACTGAACTAGAACTGAACTAGAACTGAACTAGAACTGAACTAGAACTGAACTAGAACTGAACCAGAACTGAACTAGAACTGAACTAGAACTGAACTAGAACTGAACTAGAACTGAACTAGAACTGAACTAGAACTGAACTAGAACTGAACTAGAACTGAACTAGAACTGAACTAGAACTGAACTAGAACTGAACTAGAACTGAACTAGAACTGAACTAGAACTGAACTAGAACTGAACTAGAACTGAACTAGAACTGAACTAGAACTGAACTAGAACTGAACTAGAACTGAACTAGAACTGAACTAGAACTGAACTAGAACTGAACTAGAACTGAACTAGAACTGAACTAGAACTGAACTAGAACTGAACTAGAACTGAACTAGAACTGAACTAGAACTGAACTAGAACTGAACTAGAACTGAACTAGAACTGAACTAGAACTGAACTAGAACTGAACTAGAACTGAACTAGAACTGAACTAGAACTGAACTAGAACTGAACTAGAACTGAACTAGAACTGAACTAGAACTGAACTAGAACTGAACTAGAACTGAACTAGAACTGAACTAGAACTGAACTAGAACTGAACTAGAACTGAACTAGAACTGAACTAGAACTGAACTAGAACTGAACTAGAACTGAACTAGAACTGAACTAGAACTGAACTAGAACTGAACTAGAACTGAACTAGAACTGAACTAGAACTGAACTAGAACTGAACTAGAACTGAACTAGAACTGAACTAGAACTGAACTAGAACTAACTAGAACTGAACTAGAACTGAACTAGAACTGAACTAGAACTAGAACTGAACTAGAACTAGAACTGAACTAGAACTAGAACTGAACTAGAACTGAACTAGAACTGAACTAGAACTGAACTAGAACTGAACTAGAACTGAACTAGAACTGAACTAGAAAACTGAACTGAACTAGAACTGAACTAGAACTGAACTAGAACTGAACTAGAACTGAACTAGAACTGAACTAGAACTGAACTAGAACTGAACTAGAACTGAACTAGAACTGAACTAGAACTGAACTAGAACTGAACTAGAACTGAACTAGAACTGAACTAGAACTGAACTAGAACTGAACTAGAACTGAACTAGAACTGAACTAGAACTGAACTAGAACTGAACTAGAACTGAACTAGAACTGAACTAGAACTGAACTAGAACTGAACTGAACTGAACTAGAACTGAACTAGAACTGAAACTAGAACTGAACTAGAACTGAACTAGAACTGAACTAGAACTGAACTAGAACTGAACTAGAACTGAACTAGAACTGAACTAGAACTGAACTAGAACTGAACTAGAACTAGAACTGAACCAGAACTGAACTAGAACTGAACTAGAACTGAACTAGAACTAAACTAGAACTGAACTAGAATTTAATTTTGCTTACAAATCACCCTGATGACTTAAATTTGTGACAAATTAATCAAATAAACTGAGTCCATTTAACAAATCGCAGTATGTTGCGGTTAACAATTGATTAAGTTGTAAATAAAATCTTATATGCAGCTAAATGTATGTAAATGATTGATTTTATTATAATTAGTAAAAGTTTGTGAACCAAAATAACATTTAAAATTATTAAGTTGTCACATGAGTGAGTACAACCACACACATCATTGCTCAAATTCTTAATCGATTAGCGATTTTACAAATTTCAAACACAAAATTACCAAAATGACATTTGACGACTGTATGTAGTTATGAATGATTGATAATGCTATCAACCTGTTGGTAGCTATTTTCGTTTTACTGCTCTCTTTTTTTGTAGTTGTAGGAAAATTCGCTACAAATCATTTAACTGTCGTCATCATTTGACAATTCATCATACGTAGGAGGGAGGGAAATAAAGTAAAAGTGAATAAGTATGATGAAATGTGAATTGCGTTTTATTTTTTCTTTTAGTTTGGGGTGAAATGGAACTACCCCCCATAAAGAGTATTCCTATTCGTGTTTTGCTCTTTTTTTTTCAATTTACTTTTAGCTTATTATTACTCATGCACATTTGTATAAGAGGCTTAAATAAAGTTTTTCATTAAAATTTATTCAACCGCATAAATATAAGTCAAAATCAATGTCATTATGGTTTCGGCCAACTACTTATTTCACTGAACTGCTGCTAGGATACCGGAGAAAAAATACTACAAATGTGATGATAGTTTGATACAGTAAGTGACATTAGCTTTAAGGCATATTAAGCTGATTTACTTGTTGTTAGACAAAATTCAAGTACTGTA